CTATCTCCTCTACTCGCTCCTTGCTTGTTGGTACACCACGAGTTGGGCCTTTCCTTTTCCAGGTTCTGTCCTTGGTTTTTTCCCCCCATCTATAGTTACAGTCTTGCAGTCTGAGCAAGCTCATTGGCTCAATTAGAATCTAGTATCGCTTGTGAGGAAGACTTTTATCTTCACTCCAGGAGGACCTCGCTTGTTAGCATGACCATGCTCAAACAACACCAAAACGCTGCCCTGCTCCGTTTGTTCTCTCCAAACAGGATTACTTTTAGATTGGCAGCCTGGACATGGAGTATGTTTTCAGTCACCCTCCACTTTCAGTTGTTCTTTCTTGATACTGTAGGTCTACTTATGTCCCTTGAATGTGTGCACCTCATAAAGCCTTTATTTGCCAACCTCTTTGCCACCTAGGTAGTGGATCAACCATCTCTCGTCTGTCAAAGGACGGATAGTGATTGATTGAAAAATTGACTTTGGTTGAACCGGGAATCGTCAGCAGGCCACCTACTGCTCAAATCTAATTTGACCTTAATTCTAGCTGTGAGTGGCCAGCTTTAGTTTTTCCCCACTCACCTTTACAAACTCCATTCCTACCCTACTTCTTTCCCCTATCCCTTTTCCTGCCCCCTTCCACTAGCATACCTGCTCCTCACACCATCATTTCTAAATCTTGCCTGTTCATGAGCTATCCTACTTCTCTGCCTCTTTTCCCAACTCCTCACCCTACCATTCAATTCCTTCCCCAAGGTCCTTCAGGCACGTTTGATTAGACTAGCAGAGTTTGCGGAGGGAACCCTAATTCTGGGTTTAAACCTTAATGTAGCATTGGATTCACTGCTGGATGTTTCCAAAGGAGCATTCTACCTTCCTATTTAATTTCTTAAATGATTCAATCAGCCACTAGATGCCTGCAGACTGGTGAACGTTTGGTGTGTACTGCAATTTGACTGCAGGGACTTTGCACACTAAATGCATTACATGGATTGTATTCCAGACTAGACTACATATTTGTTTAACAAATATTTCTACTACTATTTTCTAGTATTTCTATGCATTATCCAGTTGTTTTTAAAGTCTGCTTATCTGTGATGTTTTAAGTGATAGCTAATTTAGATGCTTGCTTCATATATGTCAAACCATAAAATTTTGTTCCAGTTTATAACCCTCTACCCCCTTATCTGTACTTCAAGTAACCCCCTGCCTTTCTCTTTTTTTTTCTAAAGTTTTGCACCTTGGCTAACAGAGTATTTAAGCAACCAAAATCCCATCTACAGCTCACTGCAGAACCTTCTCGATCCCTTACAGTCCGGCTTTTGCCCCCTACACTCCACTGAAACAGCCCTCCTAAAACTAATTAATGACTTAATAACAGCTAAACACAATGGCCACTATTCCTTACTCTTGCTATGAGACCTTTCTGCTGCTTTTGACACTGTGGACCACCTGCTCCTCCTCAAAAAAAATCCACTCACTTGGCCTACAAGACTCTGCTCTCTCATGGTTCTCCTCTTACCTGTCTAAGTGCTCCTTGAGTGCACTTTCCCCCAACTTTTCCCTTGAGATTGTTAACACAACTATCCAGCCTTCCCCCCCATGCCAAGGTCCTAGGTGTCATCCTTGACTCGGACCTCACCTTTCTTATCCACATCCAATCACTATCCAAATCCTGCCGCCTTCACCTTCGTAACATCTCCAAAATACGCCCCTTCCTCACCAATGAAACCGCAAAATTACTCATCCACTCCCTTGTTATCGATCGTCTTGACTATTGCAACTCCCTCCTCATTGGCCTACCTCTACACAGGCTATCCCCCCTTCAGTCTTTCATGAATGCAGCTGCTAGACTCATCCACCTAACCAACCGCTCAGTGTCTGCAACCCCCCTCAGCCAATCCCTGCACTCTCTTCCTATAGCCCAAAGGATAATATTCAAAATATTAACAACCGCGTACAAAGCCATACACAACTCTGGCCCCGGCTATATCTCCAACCTGGTCTCAAAGTATTACCCTAACCCCCCTCCGCTCTTCACAAGACCAAGGCTTTCCAGCTCCGTCATCAACTCCTCCCATGCTCGCCTCCAGGACTTCACTAGAGTGTCTCCCATCCTATGGAACTCTCTACCCCCAACCTGTCCGTCTATCTCCCACACTGACTGCCTTTAGGCGATCCCTTAAGACTCATCTCTTCAGGGAAGCCTATGCCACCTCACCCTAACCACTGAACAATCACTTTCTCAAACAATCATCCCTGCACAGCTACCTCCTCATGTATCACTTGCCCCTCCCTTTTAGATTGTAAGCCCTCACGGGCAGGGCCCTACTTACCATCTTGTCTTAAATTGTATTGTGACTGTAATGTCTTCCTTATATTGTAAAGCGCTGTGCAAACTATTGGCGCTATATAAATCCTGTATAATAATAATAATAACAAAATCTGATAATTTCATACTGACGCTTTGCAATCCCACATAACCGTAATTCCGAAAGAGGGAGAGGACTGCTCGCAGTTCCCTTCTTAGCGCCTGTTTTCCTTACTCAATGTGAATTTCAAGATCTTCACTAAAACTTTGGCCAGTAGACTAATAATCCACCTTCAAAGCCTTTTCCATTTAGATCAAGTGGGCTTCATGCCATGGCTGGAGGCCAAAGATGGTGCAACCCCCAACCTCATTCACAAGATCCCCACCATTCCTCTATTTGCCACTGTTGAAATGGCATTTGACAGGGTAGATTGGATGTTTCCTAGACCAGCGTTTTTCAACCTTTTTTTTTGTAACAGTAACCTTTAAAAGTATGCAAAATCTCGAGACGTCCCAGTCTAAAATAACGTAAATGTATGGTTACCCCCAAAATCTATACCAGACCCTTATCCCAGATAGGTATCTGGTATGGATTTAGGGGGAGACCTCATGGAAAAAATAAATAAGTAGCGTTTCTCCCTTCATATCATATAGTGGCCCCCCCCCCCTTCACATCAGTCCTGCCTTATCTGAATGCTGAGAGAGGTCCTGTATGCAGACCACCCTAGATTGTGTTTTCATGGTGCTAGTGGCCGACACCTGCACCACAATTTGAAGGCACTCCTGACAATGCCAGACGGCCCCCTGGTTAAGAACGGCTGTCTTAGACAAACCATTGGCTTAGGGGAACATGTATTTTACCTACTACCAAAGGTATAAAGCTCCTCTCTTGCTTGCAGGTTGCCTCCCCTTACTACAGTGAACTGCATGATAATACTCTATCATGAAAAGGGGTTACTCACAAAAAAGTCCGGTCTTGCAACACAAGCTTTAACTATTATTTTTTTTTATTGCAGCAAGCATGTACACAAGGCCCCACTGTGGATCCTCCTCACTCTGACATTTCACCCAATATTGGGCTCAGCATAGCCTTTTGTGAGTAACTGCTGATGCTGGGGCAAGATGGACTCAGCGTTGTCTCTAGCGTTGCTCTGAAGGAGAGGTGATATGGGGCTATGGAAGTTAATCATGAAAAGGGATATCACGCTTTGGTAACTGTTGTCCTTGTACCCCCAACTCTCACCCAGCCCCTCCATAATCCTTATGGTCCCCCCTCCCATTCTGCCACCTCTTCTCTCTGCCGCAGCCCTAATTACTCTCCTTTTCCCTACAATATATGAAAATGTCAGGGAACATTCGGGACCTTGCATTAAGCTGCAGTGAATAGAGTCCAATAGAGCACACTCTTCCTGGCTCAAAAGTAGATGTCTTCTATGATGTTGCTCCCTCGTAGAACATACCAGCTCGGTCTAGCTTCATTGCTGCTTCTTTGTAGTGAGCGAGATTCTGCTGATTGTTGACCACAAGGGAGCATAGTCCATTAGGTAAGTGGCTGCTGTTCCTTGGTACTTCTGCATTCAGCTTGTAAGACAATGATAAGCCTCGAACTGTTCTCTCCACCAAGCATGAACAATAACGGTGCCTTAATGTGCTCCATCAGCTATTTCAAAACATTTAGCCTAAGCAGACCTAACCCTTAATCCTTCGCAGACGTAACCGCTCTGTTAGTGATTTGCACGTTTTGACTTTTCATCATCTCCGTCTCAAACCACTTCTGATGTATGCCTACTACCCTGCAGACAGCGGTGACATGACTGCCACGGAAAGGGCAGAGGTTTCTTTGATGTGAGGGCTTTGATAACAGCCCAATTTCACGTTCTCTTGGCTGTGCACGAGGCAAGATGGTGCCAATAAGACTAAGAGTAAGGGGGTCTTTAAAGGAGAACTATGTGGTCAGTGCTTTTCCCCATAGTTCTCCCCAGGGTCACGGGAGGACATAAACTAGCGTCCTCCCGTGACCCAAAGCTCAGTATACCGTGAGCTACAGCTATACTGAGACGCTGCAGCAGGGATGGATCCCAACATTACTGTCGAGATCCGCCCAGCTGCGTGAGTGAAAGCTGGCTCTGCCTATCTAGAGGCAGATCCAGCTGTACCCGCCCCCTCCCCCGTCCATTCCGCCAGTCAGCGCTGGAGGATTGGAGGGGGGGGGTGGGTGGTATACCTGCAGGGAGCCATGACTGACAGTCACAGCTCTCTGCAGGGACAGGATCGAGAAGAGATCAAGCGCCGGTATGTGTTCGCTCACTACCCGATCTATTGAGCCGACGCGTGACAGTCTCATTGTCACAGGTCGGCTCGAACTTTGAAGTTGAGTGAAAATCACTCGCCTCATAGTTCTCCTTTAAGCACAGACTGGAGCACAGTTATTTTTTTTTTTTTAATATGAATTAGCTGCTTATGAGCTGAATAGTTCATATTTGGAAATAGGTTCTCTAAACACTGGTAAAGAAGAGGGCTCCTTTTAATGTTGAAGCCGTGACTAAATGGTACCCTGCGATAGATGCTACCTAGTCCCTGTAATGCATTTATCAAATAAAACCTCCATTGTGTGACTGCATTATTCTCATGCTTTTTGGTTGTCTTTCTTATGTCAATTTGTTTTAAGTGTATTCATTTTTTGTTCTTTTTTTCTCCACAGCCGTTTTATTTTACACATTCCCAGTGAAGAGAGAGACAATGCAATCAGAGTATGCTTTCAAATTGAACTGGCCCATTGGTTTTACTTGGACTTCTGCATGCAGAATTTTCCAGGCTTGCCTCAGTGTGGGATAAGAGACTTTGCTAAATCAGATATCCTTTTATTCTTTCTGAGAAAAGAAATACAGAGACATCCTTTCACACAATCTAGTATTTTGCACATGCCTTACAATTTGGGTGGAGGTACTTTGCCGTTTACAGCTTATGTTTATTAAAGCTAGTCTTATGAGACTCTGTCACCTTGCCTATTTGGGACAAAGTGACAGTATCTGTGTAAACAAATCATCCATTAATAAAGACAGTTCCCACTCAGACAATGTCTGTGTAAAGCCTACTCGCTGAATAACTCCTTGCTAGCGCTCCCTCGCAACTCTTTTCTGTTTTGCAGCTGCCACCAAATTATTCCGTGTAGGCTGGTGATGGAACCTAGGTGGTGTCACCCCCTCTATCTTCTGGCAGTCATGCATTGTGGGAGATCGTCATCTTCTCCTAGAAGCTGCAGCATAAGGCACAGCGGGCATAACACTGGAGAGGCTAGTATTAGGTGGTTGGGGATTATGAAAGCACACACGGGGAGCTATACAGAGCTCCAGTTTAAAAAAAAAAAAGTTAACCCTTGGGGTGAGGCTACCCTCACACTGCAAGAGTTAACTGTTTGTTTTTCTAGGGGCCGGAATACTCGCCTGATCCTAAGTCCTCCTGCTTTGGTGAGTGCACACCTCTCTCCTCCGCCGCTGTGGTATGTCTCTCGGCGTCCTCGCATCTAATGCAGGTGAATGGATTGCATTAGACGTGATATCAGCGGGCTTAGACCGCCGGTGCTGGGGGAGAAGAGGCTGCGGGGACTGGTTTAGCAACCAGACTGGATCGAGGATCAGATAAGTATATTTTCTTTATCTGAGCCCCTAGACCAAAATGAGCAGTTAAACCTTGAAGTGCCGGGACTAACCCCAGTGCAAACGTTTTTGATTCCTTGAGTTGCTCTTTAACCACTTGCTGACCTGGCTGTTAAACCCCCTTCCTGTCCAGGCCATTTTTCAGTATTCAGCGCTGCGGTACTTTGACTGACTTTTATTCCGTCATGCAATGCTGTACCGAAATGAATTTTATACCATTTTTTGGGGACAGATAGAGCTTTCTTTTGGTGGTATTTAATCACCACTGGGGGGTTTATTTTTCTATTATAAAAATAAAAAAGTACCAAAAATTTTGAAAAACCCCTGTTTTCCCAACGTTATTTTATAAAACATTTATCAGCACCCAATTTTTTGGCAAAATATAAAAGACAGGGACACGTCGGGTAAATAGACACCAAGCATGTCAAGCTTTAAAATTGCGTGCATCCCGCGAAATCGCAAAAAACTACCATGCCTAAAATTGACCATAGGTGACGCTTCAAAAGCTTTTACTGCTCAACACTTTATTGTTCTCCGTGATTGATTGAGAATTATTGCTCTCACTGTGATGTTCGCGGCAATATGTAACGTGTTGTGTAATCGTTGTTTTTTGCATGTAGGATCTGCTTCACCAGCTTCTTCTCTGGTTATGGCAGCCACAGAAATTACAGCTAAAGGCAGAAGTGATGTAATACACATTGCTTCTGCCTTTAGAGAGAGAGGGGGAGAAATCAGCGGTGGGGCATGCTGATGTCTCCTCCTTCCCTCTACAGAGAGCGGTTCTGCCGCTGTTCTCGGTCCCGGGCACCGAAGGGGGGACAGCGGTGCCTGAGATAACCGGCAGCAGGGGGGGCGCGACAGTGTGCATCCTCATACAAGCGATCGGCCTAAAGCTTGTATATAACAGCCAGGAATGGCTGCACACATTCCCGGCGAGATTCTGCACGCCCGCAGAAAAAAAAAATCGCATGAATGTACATCCACCCGCCGGAAAGCATCCGCCTTCTGCCCTTGTTTTTACAATGGGTGGACAGCAAGGGGTTAAAGTAGACCACTCCCTATATTTTTTTTGTGGGAAGATTCAAACTCCTGTCTCAGACAGGACAGGAAGTAAGCAGAAATCTCCCCAAAGTGAATGGGAGCTAAGCTTTGGCAGTTACTACCGGGACAGGTATCTCCATTGGAAGATTTCCCCTTATCCCTTGTTCCAGTGACAACTAATATTTTGGATTTTGCCTCACTTTCTGCCCAGCTACAATGGTCACCATAATAAATTGTGAAGGTGGTTCTCGCCAATGGGGACATAGATCACCATTAAACATAAAAATGATTACCACAACCTACACCA